CACGAGTTTTAAAATGAAGTATTTAATGAAATAAAGCAACATATAAGTAAAATAGTTAGAGAAATGCTAAGTACCTCACAAGAAAAAACAGATGCTGGAATGCAAGAACAGAAAACAAGGGGAGAATTGTTTGATGGAGAAAATAGAGAAAACATAGAATACGTGAAGCAGGTTCACAGAGATTACCAGGAAACTAAAAATTCTATCAAAAGCTGGCATAACAGCTTGCAAGAAACTAAGGATAGATTATCTGAATTGAAGGGCAGATTTGTAATATGGGAGCATGAAATGAAAAACTTCTTAAAAATAACAAGAAAACAAACAGCAATAATACAAAGGCTAGAAGAGGATCTATAACTTAAGAATTAAGAACATAAAAGAAGAAGTAGGGACACAAACAAATGGACTACAAAAGCTATTCACAGAAATAATCCAAGGGAATTTCCCTAATTTAGCAAAAGATAAAGGTACTCAGATGTATGAGGCATACAGGACCCCAGCCACCTACAACCCAAACAGAGCTACACCCAGGCATATAATAATCAAAATACCAGAAATCAAATATAAGAACAGAATATTAAAGGTCATCAGAGACAAGAAACAGATCACTTACAAGGGAACACCATCAGAATTACAGCAGACTTCTCGGCACAAACCATCAAATCACGAAGAGCATGGTGGGAAGTAATTCAAGCCTTGAAAGATAACCTCCAGCCAAGATTGATATATCCTGCACAACTGGCCCTAGAAATTCATGGAAAAACAAGGTGCTTCCAGGATAAAGAGGAACTAGGGGACTTTGCAACCATTAATTCAATGCTACAGAGAATACTGCAGGATATTCTAAAACAGGAAAATTCCAAGACTTCAGAAACAGTGGCAGAGAGGCCACAATGAATGGAGCAGAAAGTGAAATGAAGAAGACAAACTGACAACAAACGACAGAAAAAGAGCTCACCAGAAATGAGGCAGACAAGATTGGATGGTAGGAACAGCTATTTTGGAGAAAATAAGACATCATAATAGCTAGTGCTGATTTACTATCACCTTGCTTTTAAAGTCCCATCAAGCTTTTATTCTTCTGTCTCCATCAGTCTTAACAGGTTGTATCTTAATGGATTTTATTTTATGTGATAATATAAGCAAAACTTTTATAGACAAAGAGATTATACAGAAACCACTGTTCATTTTCTGATAGTTGGTTCTAAACACCCTGTAATACTGTCATTCTCTTGAATGGTTTTACATTGTCTTGATATGTTTGGTGCTACAGTATACGAAGTTATATTCAAAGATTTCAAGGAAAAAGACACTATGGTAACTACTCTTATGTCAGGATATCTTGTGGTGAAACACTATTTTGCTTAAATGGTTATGCTTTGACCTGCGCTGTTTTGTTATGCCCTCTTTTATCTCAGTCTCCTTTTTTTTAAATTATTTTTTATTTTTAACTTTTTAATTAAGGGAAAAATAAAAAATATAGCAGGATACATTATAGTAACCCACTTTGATTTCCTATTGACTTGATTTGAAACCCTGTATAGCCCTCACCATCTTGCTTTGACTGATTTTCCTCTATTCTGCTTTGCTTGATAGTACCAAGTTGAAAGTATAGGCAACAACTGTGACGACAGTAAGATTCATTATGACACCCATTCTGGTTGACTACTATCTTCTTTTAAAGTCCTGTAATGTCTCCAATGTTTTGGTTTTATTCTTTACTGTTTTGTTCAATTTTATTATAACTGATGATATAGGCAATTCTTTTTAAGATAGCAAGAGGCAATATGGTAACCATTTGTCTTAGTTACTTTATACTTCTCGCTGTGACAACATACCTGATGCCCAAGCTGGGAAAGGAAAGGTTTATTTCTTACAGTTTTTGGAGGTTTCAGTCCACACTCAGTTGGCTCCAAGACAGGCAGGCATGGCTGGGCTGCAGTTCATGGCAGCCGCCCACAGCAAACTCAAACCAGCAAAGAGAGAAACACACCTTCTTCCTGCCATTACATCACATCCTGGTTCCACCCCTATGTGGGTGGAGCACTGACACCATCAATCCAAGCACTATACAATGAACCATCACAAATGAACAATGCAAACTCATGAGGCCTGGGGGACCCAAACATAAACCATGACACCATTGATGATCACCTAGTATTTTGTTTTTACATTATCTATTATGTCCATCCTTTTGATTTGACTGACTCTGTTCTGTTATGTCACATTTGGTTTTACTCTCTTCAAAAAAAAGTAGTAAGAACTGTGGGAGTAATAAAACCCAAAATGTATAATTGTCATTGTACAAAAGAAAGGAAAAGAAAGTGCTCTAAAGAATATAACTGCAGCGGCTGGGGATTTATCTCAGCAGCATAAGCGCCTTCCTTGCAAGTGTGCAGTCGTGAGTTTGATCCCTGGTACTGATAAAAACAAAAAAGACAAAAAAAAAGAATATAACTGCATATATATTTAAGTGTATATGATAGATAACCATATTACTGAGTTTTGTTGGATCATTGAACAAAACTGTTTCCAGTCTCACTGTTTGAAAGTCCACTTTATATGCTTTAATTTTGTAACTTGAACAACTATTTCTAAGATAACAATATGTAATCTATTAACTAGTGATTTCCTGTTTATTTTTTCTGAAATTCTGTATAACTTGTACCCTTTTTGTCTTTTTTTTCTCCTTAAATAAAACAATGGTTACCATAATGCCTCATGCTATCTTAAAAAGAATTTTGCCTATATCATCAGTTATAATAAAGCTGAACAAAATAGTATGGAACAAAACCAATAAAACGGAAACATTGAAGACATTATAGGACTTCAAAAGAAGGTAACAGTCAAACCAGAATGGGCATCACAGTGAATCTTATTGTCTTCAAAGTGGTTGCCTATACCCTCAAACTTGATACTATCAAGCAAAACAGAATAGACTAAAATCAGTCAAAACAAGATGGTGAAAGCAATACAGGGCTTCAAATCAAGTTAACAGGAAATCAAAATGGCTACTGTAACATATCCTGCTATTTTTTATTTTTCCCCTTAATTAAAAATAAATAAATAAATAAGATTGAGACAAAAGAGAACATAACAACCCAACAGCACAGGTCAGAACAAAAAAATTTAAGCAACATAGTGTTTTACCACAAGATAACCCGACGTAACAGCAGTTACCATAGTGTTTCTTTCCTTGAAATATTTGAGTATAACTTCGTATACTATTGCATCAAACATATCAAGACAATGTAAAACCATTCAAGAGAATGAAAGTATTAGACGGTATTTAAAACCAACAGAAAACGAACAATGGTTTCTATATTACATCCTTGTCTATAAAAGTTTTTGTTTATACTATCACATATAATAAAATCCAAAAAGATAAAATATCTACTTTAACTGGAAAAAATATAGCCTTTTTAACAAATGGTGCTGGGAAACTAGCTATCTATATGCCAAAGGTTAAACATTTTGTCAGCTCCTCTAGACAAAGAACTAACATCTAGAACATACAAAAAACTAAAAAAAAATTTGATCCTCTAATTTAAAGACTCACTAAAAAATGGGCATCTGAAATGAACACACTTCTCAGATGAAGAAATATTAAGTGGCTAAGAAACACATGAAAAAAAAATGCTCAAAATCACTGGTCAGTCAAAAAAGGCTAAAACAACACTGATTCCATCCTATCCCAGAAAGAATAGAATCAAGAAATAATCTGATATTTTGTACATGACTATTTTATAAACATTTCTTAAGTTTTTAGGATACTATTTCACTTGTATGTTTTGAAAATTTTATAATTATGTATTCTATTGAGAGAGCTTTTAATTTACTGCAAAAGGTACTTGGTAGGCTATAAAATCTAACAATAAGCCAGTGGAATATGTGAGACTATATAGTGATCTAAAAACTTTGTCAATGGTGGTAAAAATCTGGAAACCAAGACTTCAAATAATTTTGTTTCTTCTTTTCTGCCTCTAATTTTTTGTTGTAATAAGCATATTAATTCGTTAGGATACATTCATTAGCCTTCTACATTCTGATTTCATTAGCTTGAATTTCCAGAGGTCTAGTGCTAAGAAAAGTTCCAGTTTAGTGTTAGCGTGTGGCTCAGTGGTACTTGACTATCATGTGTGAGGCCCTGGATTTAATCACTCATTTCTCTTATTCTTCGGATCCTTCCTAAATTAATTCTGACCCCCAATGACAGTCACCATATCCTGATGTTATTTAACTGAATGCCATCTTTGGAACCTGCTTCAATAACATCACAATCCAATATCCTATTCTCTGTCAGAAACCTTCACAATGCCTTAGCAACCTAAAAGCTGTTGTTTTAACTTCTAAATTGGGTAAAAGTTTTATAGGAACTCACTAAATCAAATAAGACAGTCTGTAACACTATACTTTCTCTTCTTTCCTCTACCCTAACTAGTAATACCATATCCCAAAATATCTCCATTAGAATGAATTCTCATTAGGATAATTTTTTAATACCTTTATATCTGTCATAGGCTTGGGATATAGCTCTGTGGTAGAGCACTATCCTAACCCACATAAAAATCTTGGTTTGATTCCCAGACTATCACCACTCCTACCACAACCAGCAGCAGCATCATACATAAGTCTGCTCCTCATTTGCTAGATGAAACTCTTAAATCTAAATGAGTTTCAGCCAAGCATGGTGATATACACCTGTAAACCCAGCACTTGGAAGGCTGAGGCAGGAGGATCATTGTGAGGTTTTTTTTCTTTTTTTTTCTTCTTCTTCTTTTTTTTTTTTTTTTTGGTACTGGTATGGGGATCGAACTCACAACTGCACACTTGCCAGGCAGGCGCTTATGCCACTGAGCTAAATCCCCAGCCCCGATCACTGTGAGTTTTGAGGCCAGCCTGGGCTACATAAGCAGTCTAAGACCAGCCTGCAATACAGTGAAACCCTGTTTAAAAAAAATTAAAATTAAGTGAGTTTCACCTTTTACCCTGACATATACCTGATGAAGCTGAAATCCTGTCTCCATCTGTTCCAGAAGAATATTTATCCTGTAAAAGAAAAAGAAAATCAATTTTTTACATTTACTTATCAAAATGTGTCATCTCCCAAAGAGGAAAAAATTACAGTAATTCCCTCTTTCCCATGGGGATATATAAGACACTACTGAATATCCAAAACCATGACTTACACATGTATACATATATACATATATGTGTGTGTATATATATATATACACACACACACTGTTATTTCCTATACATAGCTGTAACAGTTTAATTTATAAATTAGGGACAGTAAGAGATTAACTATAATGAATAAGATACAAAAGTTACACTTCATATTTAATAAATTAAGTAAATAGTTTTCTCAAAAATATCTAATTGTACTGTATCCTTCTTGTGAGGAGTGAGATGATGCAATGTCTCTGTAATAAGACAAAGTGAATGACACACACACTGTATTGTAGCATTAGGTTACTACCAAACTTCGGACAATGTCAGGAAAATCAGTCACATTACATAATTCTGTGTCACCAACCTATGACAATGTCAAACAGCTATCATTTACAGCATGAATAACAAGAAAGGAGATGACTCACATTTGGTGGGACACAGCAAGATGGCAAAATTCTTATTATATCACTTGAAATAGCATGCTAATATTTTTAGGTTTTTTCCCCCCAAATCCATTTTATTTCAAGGATAAAAAGAAAAAACAAAGAATAAAAAATAAAATAAAATTTCAAAACTCATCAATCAAGCAACAGTACATACATTGTACTGTACACTGTCATCCCAAATCATTCACCCAGAGCACAAGACATCTTCATTCAACTGTCTGAACAGGAACAAATCTTTTTCTTCAGTGAACTCAGAGAAATCAGTAGTTATCTTAACTATTTTTATATGAATACACATACACACATTTTTTTTTAGCTTCTCACACTAATGAAACAATACGGTATTTACACATGTGTCTTATCTCACTAAGAGTGTGTTCTCAAGTTGCATCCATTTACTTATAAGTCTCTAGTTTATCCTTTTTGATGGCTCAGTAGTACTCCATTGCATAATATCACATCTTTTTTATCCATTCCTCAGTCGATGCGCATTTAGGTTGTTTCCAAGATCTAACTATTACAAATCGTGCTGCTATAAATATAGGTGCCCATATATCACTAGGTGTGATGTTTTTAATCCTTCTGGGAAAATACCCAGAAGGGGAACAGCTGGGTCCAATGGGACCTCTAGTCCTAGTTTTTTGAGGAATCTCCATACTGATTTCCAGTGATTGCACCAGTCTGAATTCCCACCAACAGTAGAGAAGTTCCTTTTTCCCACAACCCCTCCAGCACTTATTATTGCTTGATTTCTTGATAGTGGCCATTCTTTCTGAAGTGAAGTGGAATCTCAGTCCTGTTTTAATTTATAGCATACAATTTAAAACTTACAAATTATTTCTGAAATTTTCCATTTAATAGTTTTGGGCCATAGTTGACTTACAGATAACTGAAACCATGGAAATCAAAATCATGGATAAGGGAAGACTACTATATAACAATTGAGCTTAGTTCAAGACAAATCAATGGCAGACAATACAGTTTTCTAAATCAATGGATATTCTTTTAATCATTCCAAGACACATTCACTTTAGCATTGCACATATAACTTATTTAATACAGCACTTAAAATAGTAGAGCCATGCAGCAAATTCTGTGAGCCACTCATTTCTGTAGTTTTACTGGAGCTTGGCCATCCTCATTCACTTATTTAAGTTTATGGCTACTCTTTTTACACTGCAACAGCAAAACTGTGAGTTGAGATTGTAAGGCCTGCTAAGTCTACATTATTTACTATTTGGCACTTTATGTAAAAGACTTTCTAACACCTGACTTAAAAATTTAGTCATTTAAATCACCCACATATTTGAAAAGTATTACCAAATATTACATAAATAAAATCTGGGTCATCATGCCTCTTCACAATAGCCTACCCTCATGATGTAAAGCAGTAATGATGAAACTATGGCACATGTGCCGCAGCTGGGTGTTTGTATCATCAAAAGCTCGAAAAGGTTCACCCCATTACTATTGTATACTTCTTTTCCTACTTTTCTTTTCCTACCTTAGTAAAACTTTGCTACTAATAAAAAATAATAAATAAAATTGAACAAAAATAACTACTGGGAGCCACTGAAGCTGGAAATTCACCACACCTGAGGGAGCCTGCGAGCCAGCCAGTTTAAAAAACAAAAACCGCCTAGGGCAAGTCACAAAAACAAGGACTTTTGGCTTCACAATTCAGGCCTTTGGGTTGCCATACATGCAGATTACTAAGCAATGGGGTGTCATGTGACCTTAAATTGTTGAATAAATAAATGCCCCTACAGTGAGGGGGCAATCCCTTTGCTCCCATCAGGAGAAGGTTTCCACCTGATGCCAGCTTTTTGTCTCTTCTTTATTTTTCTTATCCTCCCACCGGGCTTCCCCCTGGAAAACCTGTGGAGCTGTGCAAGTCACAGCAAGTAATCTGTAGATAAATCAATACCTGTGAATATACCATATTTTCAGAATTCACTATTTTACAAAATACTCATCAATGCTATACAGATGAGTAGAACACAATGAAATTAGTGGGTTATAGTTTCTATTACAAAGAAATTTTACCCATGCACAGCGATGCATGCCTGTGATTACAGAACTTAGGTGGTCAAGGAAAAATGACTGTGAATTTGAGGCTGTTTCCACTGTTTATATAAAGTGAAACTAATGTATTTTTTTTTAAAAAAGGAATTCATTCTAAATTTAAGAAAATTCACTTGTACACTGAAAACCATATAACCATTCTGCTATAGCACTACAAATGTCAACTTCAGGTCAGAATAGTTAATTTTAACTAAACATCTCTGAGCAGCAGTTGAAGAGTGTCCTCAATTTTCTCACACCTATTCCATTTCCCCTACTTTCATCTCAAAAAAGTATCTGCTATTAATGCACATGCAGGGCTGGGGATTTAGATCAGTGACCTGAGTGTCTGCCTGGCAAGAGCAAGGTCATGAGTTCAATCCACGGTACCGGGAAGAAAAAAAAAAAAGTCCAGTTTAATGCATATGCATTACCATGGCAGTGGTATGACTAGACTTTGAAAATTTTACTTTTATTATAAAATCATAGCTGAATGTCAAGTTAACTTTAGAAACTCCGAACATTTTTTGGAACCTCTCTGGATTAAAGACAATTGTCAGTTTTCTCAAATCTAAATCTACTGGTTTCTTTACATAATTAACCATGCTTTATTTCTTCTCACATAAACACCTTCTAAGGAAAAACCTAGCTAGTCTGAAATCATGGAAATGAAAATCAAAACTCAGTAATTAAAAATGAAAGGTGACCTAAAATATCTTAGCCAACTCACTACTTAGAACAGTCACAATCTTCCTTCAAATAAATTCATTTAAGTCCCAAAGCTGCAAGGAGTGTGCAGCAAGATGAGCGACTTTTAGTAATATTTACTTTCTAAAATTTCTTTCACAAAAGACACAGAATGACTTTTTAAGCCACTGTACTCTTTGGAGGGTTGAAAGTCACTCAAAACATTCTTTGACCTGTCATAAAAGGCAAAAAGACCTTTATGGGCAAATAGCACCCTTGAAAAGGCTTGGGTTTTTGGTAATTGCAACAGAAGAATAAAAGGCCTAATTTATTACTACCTGACATTAAAACAATGGTCCGATCTTCCCTAAAGTGAAATCTGAAGACATTTTGGTTTTTAATAGCCAAAGTCTCATTGAGTGAACAGAGCCAAAAAAGGTGGGCTTTAAATGTGGTTAAACTGATAAATGATAATGGTGTGTTATTTAACACTCCACATACAATGAACTCACAAGTTACAAGGAAAATTTTGAAATAAGACATCAAAAAATTTTTTATAATTTGTTCCATAAGAAGTCCTTACAGAAGTATAGATATGGAAAGAGATTACAAATAAATTAAATGGGGTAACATGATCAGTAAATAGTGCTAAAGACTTTTCTTAGTATTGTTCTAATTTCTGCAAATTTTTCATAAATTATTTTCAAATAAGATTTGTTAAGGAAAAAAATTCTTATCTTTTTTGCTACTCCAAAAACATAGATAATCACCTTCACTTCCAGTTACTGAACTATTTCTCCTCTGCCTCTCTTTAAATAAGAGATTATCTACAGTTGCTACCTCTGATTTCTCATATCCTTTATTTCTATAAAGTTACTCTGATCTCACTTCTAGCCTCACCTCTGCAATGGAAATGCCTTAGTTTTGATTTTCACTAATAGGAGATTGAATATAGGCCTTCAAGTCCCCAGCTCTCTTTACCTGAGTGTTTCTAATTTCTTAGGCTGGGCTTGAACTTGCAATCCTCCTGCCTCCTGCTTCCAAAGTACTAGAACTACAGGTATGCACCAATAATTCCAGTTTATAATGCTTTTTCAATAAGGAAATTATGTAATAAAATTACAGCTTCTATGTTTCAACAGAGTCCTCTTAGCAGCTTTTGAAATGAGTATTTTTATTTTCTCCTTGTGCCATTAGCCATTTCCTCTTTAATTCCTTTCTCAGGTGCTCCCCCTCTGCTAGACCTCAAAATGTTTCAAGGCTCAGAGTAAGACCTTCGAAGTCTATTATCGTCTTACTGTACCTGGTATTACCCAATGTTATAACTTAAGTCCCACTAACATGTACATTATTCTCAAATTTCTATCTGTGGGTCTGATACCTCTCATAAGCAAAAAATTTATGTATCCTATTAAATGGCTTCCTCATCTGTATATCTTCATAGGTATTTAAAATTGAACACAGCAAACACAGAACTATTTTTTTCTCCCAAAATTGTGCTTCCTCTGTAGATTACCCATTTCAGCCAATTTAATGTTGTTCACCAAACATTAATTTAGTTGTTTAGGTTATAAAACCTACTCAGCACACTTGATTTCTCTTCATTAACCATACCCATTCTTTTCAGTTCTATCAACTTTGTGTGCCTACCTCCCTCTCTTCTTTACCCCTTTCCTTCTCTGACTTCAGTTTCTACCAATGTCTTATGCTTTAATTGTACTGCATTCCAGCCACCCACAGATATCAAGTCCTAATCCCTGAAATGCATAAAAATTATTTTATTTGAAAAAGGTGAGATACTATATACTTAAGATTTTGCAAAATTCCAGAAATCCAATATAAGAACAGAACATTAAAAGCTGTCAGAGACAAGAAACAGATCACTTACAAGGGAACACCCATCAGAATTACAGCAGACTTCTCGGCACAAACCATCAAATCACAAAGAGCGTGGGGGGAAATAATTTAAGCTTTGAAAGATAATAACCTCCAGCTAAGATTGATATATCCTGCACAACTTTCCCTAGAAATTGATGGAGAAACAAGGTGCTTCCAAGAGAAAGAGGAACTAGGGGAATTTGCAACCACTAATTCAACTCTACAAAGAATACTGCAGGATAGTCTAAAAAAGGAAAATACCAAGATGCCAGAAATAGTGGCAGAGAGGCCATAATAAATGGAGCAGAAAACGAAATGGAGAAGACAAACTGACAACAAACGACAGAAAAAGAGCTCAACAGAAATGAGGCAGTTCTCTTCGGAAGGTAGGAACAGCAATTTTGGAGAAAACAAAGACATCGTAATAGCTAGTGCTGATTTAGTATCATCTTGTTTAGAAGTCCCATCAAACGTGTATTTTTCTGTCTCCATTGGTCTTAAAAGGTTGTATCTTATTGGATTTTATTATATATGATAATATAAGCAACTTTTATAGACAAGGAGTTCATATAGAAACCATCGTTCATTTTCTGTGAATTAGTTCTGAATTCCCTGTAATAATATCATCCTCTTGAATGGTTTTATAGTGTCTTTATATGTTTGGCGCTACAGTATAAGAAGTTATACTCAAAGATTTCAAGGAAAGAGACACTATGGTAACTATTTCTATGTCAGGATATCTTGTGGTGAAACACTATTTTGCTTAAATGGTTATGATTTGACCTGCGCTGTTCTGTTATGTGCTCTTTCATCTCAATCTCCCCTTTTTTAAATTATTTACTTTTCTCTTATTTCTTTAAGGGAAAATAAATAAAAAATAGCAGGATACATTATAGTAACCTACTTTGATTTCCTATTAACTTGATTTGAAATCCTGTATTGTCCTCACCATCTTGTTTTGACTGATTTTCCTCTATTCTGCTTCGCTTGATAGTACCAAGTTCAAAAGTATAGGTATAACTGTGAAGACAATAAGAATCATTATGACGCCCATTCCGGTTGACTATTATTTTCTTTTAAAATCCTGTAATGTCTCCAATGCTTTGGTTTTACTCTTTACTGTTTAGTTCAATTTTATTATAACTGTCAATTCTTCTTGGAATAGCAAGAGGCAGTATGGTAACCATTGTTGATCACCTTATATTTTGTTTTTACATTATCTATCATGTCCATCCTTTTGATTTGACTGTATGTTGCACTTGGTTTTACTCTCTTCAAAAAAAGTGGTAAGAACTGTGGGAGTAATAAAACCCAAAATGTGTAATTGTCATTGTACAAAAGAAAAGAAAAGAAAGTGTTCTAAAAGTTATAACTGCATATATGTTTGGGTGTGTAAGATAGATAACCATGTTGCTGAGTGTCTTTTGGATCACTGAGCAGGATTGTTTGCACTCTCACTGTTCGAAAGTCCACTTTATATGCTTCAAATTTGTAACTTGAACAACTATTTCTAAGATGAGAATATGTAATTTATTAACTAGTGATTTCTGTTTATTTTTTAAATTTTGTATTACTTGTACCCTTTTTCTGTTTTTTTTCCTTATTCTCCTTAAATAAAAAAAAGAAAAAATATATACTTAAGATTTTGGGGATGAGATTACTCTGGATTACCTGGGTGGATACTAAATGTCATCTGAAGAGTCATGAGAGAGATGTAGCAAGACATGGTGATATAATCTCATGCCTACTTGTGGAACTGAGGCAAAAAGATTACAAATTCCACCCCAGTCTGGGTAACTTAGAGAGATCCCATTTCAAAAAAAAAAAATTAAAAATAAAAAGGGCTGGGAATGCAGCTCAGTGGTAGTATTGCTTAGTATGTGAGAGGCTCTGAGTTCAATCTCCATTATCCAAAAAAAAGTGTGGGGGACAAAGGGAGATAACACAGACACACAGAGAAACTATTTGATAAACAGGAAAGAGATGTAACCACAAGCCAAGAACTGCTTATAGTTATCAGCTCCTAGAAGTAAGGATTCTCTGTTAGAGCCTGATACCCTGATTTCTGACTTTTGGCTTCTACAGAAGCAATGGCTTCTGCTGCTTTAAGATACCCACTTTGTGGTAATTTGTTACAGCAGTCTAACATATTTGCCTACCTCCTGATGTCCTAATATCCCAAGTTTGTTCATTCCTCAAAACCTTTAGGGTTAGGGTTAGGACTCCTCCATGTCTCTAGCTCATAAGTCATTGTCTCAGGAAAACCTTCTTTCTCCATTTGCTCCAAAGTCGCCCAACACACATATTTCCCTACTTTTTTATAGCACTTTTTACCATTTGTCATTATTATCTGGTTTTTGAACGTACACCTGTTTCCCCAAGTAAAATACAATGTCTTTGATAGTACATACTTTATTAGGTTCAACACTAATTTCAGCAAGTAGGACTCATAATCTTATTTCAATGTACACAGTTCTTGTCACTCTGCATATTTTATATTTTTATGTATAATAAAGATTTCCACAAAAGCATCACTTAGAAAGTATCAGGACTGACAAACTGGAAATTTCATTTTATTTTTGTAGTACCTGGAATCGAACTCACAACCTCACACTTGCCAGACAGGTGCTTAGGCGGCTAAACTAAATCCCCAGCCCAGAAATTTTGAAAGAAAAACCTTTTAGAGTCAGTGTCAAGTAAATAACATTTCTATTAAAATAGTCCCTTAGAATACATTATCTTCTAAAGTACACTTTATTTTTTTTTAAGTCAGAAGTGAAATCCCAAAAGCCACTCTACTGCCTTTTCTTCAGAAGTAAAATACAGAAATGCCATTCATGAAAAAAAGAATGTATGATTTGTGATGTATCAAGATGATAGCACCACTGAATCAGTCCAATAATCTTAAGAGCTCTCCTGGCATAAAACCAATTTTCAGAATTCAAAACATCACCCAGAACCAAATTATTTTTAGTTCTCCCTAGAAGAGTTCTTGAGGGCCTGCTTGGCAAACTCCAAGTCCTGAGTTTGATCCTCAGTACCAAAAAATAAAAATAAAAAAAGTCCTTGAGACATTTTTGTACATACTTGCTTTCACCTGTAGTTCCTAAATCATTGAGATTTAAATGACATTGTTAATGTTACATCTGTTTTAGCTTTTAATTATCAAATTACCACAAATAATCTATTTTGAGGATCATTCTGCCTCTCATTCCCCTTAAAAGTTAGTAACAATCATATGGAGATAAACTATACATTTACAATTTTCCCACCAGTTCAATTTTCAATGTAGATTTTTAAAAAGCCATAGCACTTAATAACTATACATTTTGGCACAGAGCCTGCCTGGCAAATGCAAAACGTTAGATTCAATTCCCAGCACCCAAAAAACACATTACCTTCTCAAACACAGGAACGTAGGAAGACACGTGAGGTTTGACAATTTCTGCTTCCCAGTCTTCATCTCCCATGGTGGCTTTCAAGTTCTACCTGTATTTTAAAAACATGCACTTTTGGTCTTGATTATATCAGAATCTTTAACGTAGCTCAGTTATAAAGCACACAAAACATAAGGCCATGGTTTTAGTCCCCATTACCAAAAAAAAAAAGTATAAATTATCATCTATTCAACTAAGTGCTAATTCTCCTACAAGGTTTATTTTTTTCAAAAAGGAGAACTAAGTCTTCGCACCGAGGCATGGCATTTATATCCATCCATCCTTTTTATCTTCGAAAGATTGCTGAACTACTTAATCATTCTAGCAATCACCACGTCCGGAGGACGATTATGCTTTCCCCTCAAAGTTGTTTCTCCTTGAAAGGATCTCCCAAAGGGCTCGATAGATATTAAAGGAGGAGGGGGTATTAGATAATATTCAAGGTTTTTCTTTCTATATGCTTTTTCCCTTTACTTCCTTTCAAAGGCAGACGCGATATTCGTTTTACATGTTTGGATGGAAAGAGGGCAGTTCAAAGGAAAGAGATTGGAGACTGACAGGGTAAAGAATTAAGCGGCTCAAAGCCCACCACCCAATAAAGTGTTTGTATGTGAACGGTACAAAAAGGTTCTACGACCTTTTTTCCTCAGAGAAGAGGCCCACGCAGGCACTGCGCAGAAGATTCCTTCACTCCTTGCCTTCAGGCCTCAAATCCGGCCTTCAGTCACCTAGTCAGCAGCGGAGTTTTAGAATCCTGGTTGGAAGAAGGAGGGCCCCCAAAGATGTCTTCAAACCTCATCCAGCCCATTCTCTCTCCATTTGGTCCAAACTCCGACTTCCAACAGGCCTGAGAGCCCTCGGGCAAACGCCACCTACCCCACTCACCTCTCCACTCGGAGCTCGTGCCGAGTCCTCGCAGGCAGGCGCGCAAACCGCGCTTAAACGGCTGCACGTGCGGACGCTGACTGCGTCAGACACGCTACTCCAACAGCAAATAGTATACGGCCGCGATGAGCACCGCCGACCAATCAGCCCTCAGGCGGTGGGTGATGTCCCGCCCCTCCACCTCAACACGGCGTTTCCTGCCTGCCAAAGCCAGAGGCTGCAATGAGTGGATCTACCAGCCTTCTTGCTGGGAGGCTCGTCTGCGCCTGCGTGTATGAGTCCGGCAGTGGGCCTGCCCCAGACTTTTCTCCATACTATCAGGTGGCATCTTAAATCAGAAGAGGATGTAGTTTTATATGTGCCAGCAAAGCAAGTCATCTTTGGTCAGCTCCCTTTTTCTAACACACAGACACACACACACTCACAAACAGACACGGGAAGGACTTTTGTTTTTCTCCCTTTTTATCTGGTCGTTGGCCCTTCGGATTCTTAATTTCTGAGGCCTCACTTCACACCGGGTAATATAAAGCAACTGAGGCAAGTGGATCTGATTCCCTATTCCTCCCAATATAGAAAGGATGAGGGTGAGACTTTGGGTGGTACCCCAAGAGGTTGTAAAGAAACACTGTCATATAAAGTTGAGTGTTCACCTCTGTGAGAAGAAAACAATTCGCACATCCCTAGGGGGCCCTGGTTAGTCAACAGGTGAGGGTTGCTTTAATATTTAATGCTGTCAATGCTTAGATATTCTGTTTCTTCCTACCTCCAAAAAAAAAAAAAAAATCATTTTTTGAGACCCTGCCTCAAAAAGAACCAAAAAAAGTCATTTTGCATTCTCTGATTCTTTGAGGAAATTCCTCGGTATCTTACTCAGGAACATAAATCTCTGTACAGTCCAACACTGGGACATGAAGGATAAGATACTTAGGCTGCTTGGTTGAAACTCTTTGTCTCTAGAACCACCATCACTGTTTCAGCACGAAGAGTGTTAAGGTTTATCTAGTTAGCTCTAAATTTTGTCATAGTAGACTCAACATCTGTTTTCAAAAGATTGTATGTAACAAAGATCTAATCAGAATATATTTTAACATAACATTTAAAATTTTGGCCAATTTTCAAAATGAACAAGTTTCTAAACACTTAGCAATTCATTATTGGAGGGAACAGATTCTTATTGCTCTCAGGTATTGCAATGAAATGGCTTTTTATGGTTCTTTACATATATATTTTCCCCATATACGTGTATATATGTATATGTGAAAGCAATTCCTGGTTAAGAAAAAGTAAATTCAGATAAGAACTGAAATTCAGTATTAGTCCAGGGATACAACTCAGCAGCAGCACAGTGTCTGCCTGGCAAGCATGAGTTTGATTCCCAGTACCAAAAAGAAAAAAAGAAATTCAATATTGAAAAAAAGATAAAGTTCAAAAGTAATCAAAAATCAAAGAATAAAAAAAGTTCAGTAAACATTAATTTTTAATAGACTTTAAATGAGTAGCTACTATGGGCCAGATACTATACTAGGCACTAGAAATAAAATAATGCCATGTTTCAAGGAATAGTCTAGTGAAAAAAGGGCAGTAGCAACTGGAATTTAAAACTTTAAGTCTCCTGTCTCAAAAAATTCATTAGAAAACTGAGAGGGAAAACCTTCTGTCATACAGTTCCTTCAAATTCTTCAGATCTCATGTAGTAAGGTAGGGCAACAATTTTCTCAGTGTGTTTCAAAGTGAAATTTATAGTTAAGACCCTGGGCTGGGGATTTAGCTCAATGACATAAGTACCTGCCTGGCAAGTGCAAGTTTGTAAGTTCAATCCCAGGTACAAAAAAAAAAAAAAAAAATATATATATATATATATATATATATATATAGAGAGAGAGAGAGAGAGAGAGAGAGAGAGAGAGAGACAGATAAAGTTAAGACCCTTCTCACTTCACAAAAAGACACTAAATTCTCTGAGTAAATATGAAAAGGACTAATATTTGGATTTTCAACATTATCTCCATGTTATTTGAGTAACGATTTCATTCATTGATGTGGATTATTCCTAGCACCATGTCAAGTCCTAAAATTTTCTTTTCTAGGATGTAGTTTAGTGGTAGCGTGCTTGCCTACATGCATGAGACCCTGGGTTCCATTGCTAGCACCACACGTACACACACAAATTTTATTTCACCAGTGGTCCCAAAGTGAATCACCTCAAATCGAAAAGACTATGTTTTCATTTTTAGGTGCCATCAATATTTGAGACTCTTGTCACCTTGTATTGTACATGTAATTATATGTTAAGGAGAAATTACAAAATCTTTAGATTATAGCCATGTGAAATAAACATAAAATGAAGAGAGGATATGATATCTTCAAGACACATTATAGACTAAGGATATAACTTAGTGATGCCATGCACACATACGAGGTGAGTTCAATCCCCAGCACTGCCAAAAAAACAAAATACCATTATGCTACTAACACATCAGAGGAAGAGAGAAAATAGAGGAAATACACCTAACAGGATTCAGAGAAGCAAAACTTCTATGTTTTTTCAATATTGAATAAGGCAACATTTACCAAACTGTGGTGTATAATACCTTAAAAAATTTTAGGCAAGTCGTAGATGATTTTTATTTTGATAGTTATTTTAGTGTTTAATTTTTAAATTTAGTATGTATTAGAAAACACACAAAATATGACTTCAGAAATCTAATTGCTTATAATGAGGCCAAAGTAAATAATTTTTAAATGTTTATTCAAATAAAGAATAAGTATATATGTAATAATGGTAAAAATCATGATGATGGTTTCAAATGATTTAAGTGTAGGAAACATTGGTAAAAATAAAAAGACTGAATCTGAGGCCTGGTCACTAGTGAGAACTCTTCTATTGCAAATAAATATATTTCATCATCACCTGTTTTAATTCCATGCTCATTCATCAACTTCCTGATTAATAATTCAACTTCTCAACCAAAGGGATATCAGGAGGGAAATAAAACATAAATGCATTACTTCTTCCCCATTATGATTCAATACATTGAGATTCTGGTTTAGAAGTCAGTGTTGCTTGACCTTACCTATTATTCTTCAGAGGGCCTACTGGTAATTAACCAACCCTCCACAATGACAACACATTCAGGGACCCCTAAACATTGTTAAAAATGTATTTAATAATAATGGAATATATTTAATGAGAGCTGAAAGGCAGTGAAGGATAAAGTCAAATAGTAGTTCTGGATACCCTGGACCCAGGTTAGATTAAATTGTCTTTTGTGTGCATTGCCACAGAAAAATCATTCATCAGTGAATTATGGAATTTGGTGACCATTCACTGGGTAAAACATATACACCAGACCCCAACCCTTTCCATTTCCACTAAATGTTACGTACTTCTAAAAATAAAGCTGGGGAAAAAAGTACTTTAAGTAGAGCAACAGTGACCTGATTTGGCCGGGGGGAGGAGGAGGATTCCCTATCTGCCAAAGAAGCCCACCATGTCCAATGCTTTAGCAACAAGCATGCTAGCACACAGATAGTACTATCTGCGAAAAACAAGGCAAAAAGCAACCAAGCTTTGAAGAACTACCATAGCACGAAGAGCTCACTGAAATGCGCTTTCACTGACAAAATTTTGGACAACTTGAACATGAAAGTAAACAGTGATAGTAACATGTCACAACCTGTTGAATAAAATAAGAACCCCTAAGACATATGGTTGATAAGCAAATAGAAAGGAAAATCTCTTTCAGCAGAATGCTAATAAATTTGGAATAGACACTTTTTATTAGATTTTATAACTAGTACAATAGTATGTGATTCTAGATTACTAAAACTAGCAGCTGAAAGTTTAATGGGGAAAATGATATTGAAAAAGTCTTAAAATGTGTCCACATTAGTCATTTTCTTTGTCAATGGGCCAAAATACCCAATACCCACCCTAAACAGAAAAGATTTACTTTGCCTCAAGATCCAGAAGTTTCAGTCCATGTTTATTGGGCTTAAACACATAAGCGACAGGGCAGAAAAGCAGGATGGAGGAGAGTTGCTCATATTATGGCAACAGAGAGAGAAGGAGGGAGCCAGGGAGAGAAATACACCCTTCCAGGTCATATTCCCAGTGAGTAGCCTCCTGTGACCAGGCTCCCCTCCAAATAGCAGTCAGCTATAGAGCTTCTACGGTCTAATCTTCTTCAGAAGCCTATGAATTCGTGAGTCTCTTGGAATGCATCTATACATAAACTAACACCCGTAATTTTTTTTATCAGTTATAAAGGAAAAGCAGGAGATGTGGAAGGAAGAAAGCTGGCAAAAACTATCCGCCAATAAGTGATCAGAATTAACAACATTATTCTGGTTATCTATTACTATGTAACTACTCCAAATGTGGTGGCTTAAAGCAATCTACTATTTCATGATTCTATAGATTGAGGGTCCTCAGTTAGGGTTTCTCATGCAGTTGCATTCAAATGTTGGCTGAGAATTCATCTGAGAATTTGTTTGAACATCTAAGATGGGTTTTTTTCCTCAGATATCTTGTGTCTGGAATAGCTAGAACAGTCGAGTACTGACCAAACAATTCTCTCTTTTCTGATTTGGATTTCCTTACAACGTGTGGGTGGCCTCATTCAGACTTTGTATAATGGTTGCCTACCCCAGGGTGTGTATTCCAACTGAAGAAACATTCCAAGAGACTAGTACAGAAACTCCAAGTCTCCTTCAAACTAAGAAATACAGTAAGTCCTCAACTTATGACCATTCAAGTTGTAAATTTTTATAGATATTAAAAGACCTTACACTATCAATATTCATAGAGGTGAAAAAATTTCAGAAGTAGCTCATATGTCTGCTTGACATTGTTGCCATTGTGCTACTGTGTGTTTACTGTAAAATATGGTAGTGTACAAAAGTATAGTACTCAATCAGAGCCCAGTATTCCTAGAAGCAAGAAAAAAAAGCATTG